AAAACAACAGATTAAAGAAAATCAGAGAGCTCAGATGTTTATCTGTGTGTGGTGCTCAGGTGTTAGTGGAAGACAAATGATGAATTAAAATGTGGTATTTCTTTGAATTTCTATAAAACGTGTTGCTGTTCACATTCTGAATTCTCTGCAGGTAAGTCATGCTGTGTCTGTGGCAAAGACGTCTGACACAGTGAGAGTAAACAGTCATTTTAGACACACAGTGAATTGTCTGAAGAAGCTGGGAGTCTCCGTCAACAACAGCATCCAGGTAGGAGAATAAAAAGGATACATGACCGTATATCACGGCACCTGATTTAACCGAGATGAGCGTGCACTAAACCCTGGATGGTGACTGCGTCCAGGTGGAGTTTGGTTCTGCTGAGGGGAAAGGCATGAGCTTACAGTCCCAGTTTGGTGGTCAGCTGGCAGGACTGAGGCTTAAGATGAAAAATGTTCCCATGACCAAAGAAATAAGAGGAACCATGTGGCACAGCTGGTCATGGCTACACGACAGAGGCCTGCCATCTAATATAGAGGTACCTACCTAATGGTTCTACATACAGACACAATGTTAACCTACTTCTATGAGTTAAAAAAAACATTTATTTTTATGTTTCTGGTGAGCTGAGGTTTGCCTGTCTCAGAACATCCTATTAATTCATGAGATGAATGACAAAAACAAGTTGCTTTCTTCTTTTACTTTCTTCTCTGCTAGGGTCTTTGCTCCATCCAAGGAACCTTCTCTCAGCATCGGTCCAGGGCTCAGCTCACTGTGGAGGGACACAAGCTGCTCACATCTGGCTTGAATTTCAGTGGCACCAATGGACATTTGTCTGTTCTCCTCTCCTACTCTCCTCCAGCTTTCAATCAAACAAGAACTCAATGCCATCTGGACGCCGTCCTCACTGCTCAGTTCAAAGGTCAGACAAAACGTCGGTTTAACGTTGTTCTTTTACTTTAGTCATCTATTTTATTTTAATCTTCATCCCAGTTTCATAATTTCATGCACTTCTTGCTTCGTATTTTCCCCGTTTGGCTGCTGACCGCTTTTGTCTTAAATCCTATCCATGAAGTGCAATACTGCACAGTGACCAGCAGATGTCAATCTTTTACTTCATAAATTGTTCTATGGCCGTACCTCCTCTCCTGCAGGAGCAAAAAGATGCTTTGGCTAAATGTTATTCTCATGAAGGTGTGAGGACTCTACCCTGAGGCAGTGATGCTCTGATATCCTCCGCAGGCCCTCTGAGGAGCGCTTTATTAGACATTCGAAGCCAGGATTGGAGGGTCAGAGCGGTGGGGGATGTTGGTGTTTGGGGCGCACATGGAGGAACTAAGGAGGCCAGAATCACACTGAAACAGACAGTACAGGGACAAGCCACTCCTGCTTTTCAGGTAAGGTCAGCACGCACCTTTAATCCAAACATCTTCGTTCTTCTGTGCTCGCAGTCTACTCTCATATTGTTATCGCTGAATGTTGTTGCAGGTGGAGGCCTGGGGAAGACTTACTGAGTCACAGCTGAGGTGCTCCATGGCTGTAAACCCTGAACTCAGCACCTCACTTGCACTCATTGTCCAGGGACACCATGTCCCTCATAGGTACTGTTAATACACATCAGTCACTCACTAATTAAAAAAATTATTGTAAGTTGTGCACATTGTGCACACACTGAAAGTGATAGATGTCCTTTTGTTTAGCAAGGACCTGATGGTGAAGGTGGTCCAGAATATCCCCACAATGCTGGTCTACCTGCCTTCTCAGACCAATGTCCGAACGCAGGCGAGTTTTTCAGTTCTCAGAGGAGCTCCTTTTGCATTTAACTGGAGCTCAAATAGACACACACTCTGCAAAACACAATCTGTGCATCACTGTCCAAATCCTCTGTCAAATTACAAATGCACTGCTTTTGTTTGGCTATCCTTTTAATGCAGCACCTTCTTCTCTCTTTCCGCCTCCAGTTGAACCACTCTCAGTCCACTGTGGTGGGTTTGGTGGAGGTGATGTCAGGCAGGAGGAAGCTGTGGGCTGTTGGAGAGCTGGCAGCGATAGAGAGCGGATACAGGCAACTTCTAGAGGTCAAAAACTCGTACCCACAGGTATTTCTGAGCTTAAATGCCTCTTCACTAGGAATACAGTGTGTGCACAAGTTTACTTAAGAGTTTTATCAAGTCACAGGTTACAGACACTTTTCACTGGCAGTGATGGATGGTTGTGCTAGAGGGTTATTATATATTTGCATCCTATTGTTTATAGACAATAATAATAAAAATAATAATGCAATGGCCTCTACGTTATCAGCGGATGCATTTCGCCTGATTTTGGGAACCATTAAAAAATAAAGCTAATGAAAAAATTGACTTTCTGGGTCAAAATCTGAATGTTGTTTCAGTCCACACCCTCAACATGAACCCTCATGTGGAACATGAATGTTCCACATCCTAAATATGATTTGTTGTGTAGTTGAAGCCACTCCCCAGGACTGCTGCAGTGAGGACAGTGTACGAGGCTCGGAAATGGAGCTACCAAGTTCAGCAAGCTGCTGTGTGGGGAAGCCAGGAGTTCAGCTTGTCTGGTCTGTACTCTGCTCCACCAGCACTGGAGATGGGAAACCAGACAATCAGGGGTAACATTTAGTTTTTCAGCAATGCTTGATCTTCGTTGTTTTATCTGCAAAGGCCACGTTAGAACTTAAAGGGAAAAAAGTAAAAGATAAATCATGAAGCTAACTGAAGATGCTGAGTCTTTCTCTCGTCCCTGATGTTAGTTCAGATCACCTGCATCCCCCGTTTGACTAATTTGGATGTGAAGCTGGAGCGTTCGCTAAATGCAGGACTGGATAGTGTTTTGCTGGACTGGATGAGGCATGGACAACTGGAGCAGGTCAGGCTGTACAAGCTGTGTCATTACGCAAAAAACGAAATTAAAACAACGTTGATTTCTCTCTGCTATTAGCTTTCCTTCCTCTTTAAACTCTAAAACTGTAACATAACCAAATGGAAATGTGTATGAAATGTATATGGTTATGACAGTAAAACACAGATCATTCAGGCATTAATAAACTGGATTTCTTTTCTGCATTATGGGGTCGTCCAAAGGTCAGAGTTCTGAGCTCGTGGAATCGCTCGGAGGACATAAATACAACCAAACTGGAGCTGAAACAACCATTCACCTCTGCGCTCAGACACCTGTCGCTGCACACACTGACGCAAAGCTCACGCAGAGACCGACGCAGCAGCCACCAGGTACAACCAGAGCTTCACACAGTTGTCTTATATTTCGTCTGCGATATTGATTTCAATTCAATTTATTTTATTTAAATAGCGCTGAATAACATAAACAGTCACCTCAAGGCGCTTTATATTTTAAATGGTAAATAATGGTAAATGGCCTGTATTTATATAGCGCTTTACTAGTCCCTAAGGACCCCAAAGCGCTTTACATATCCAGTCATCCACCCATTCACACAC